ATATATATATAAACAAACCAAATCTAACAAGTAATTAAAACAGTAATGAAATAGTTTATTCTTGAAATATGTTAGGTTGGTGCAAACATAATGGCAGTTTCAGACCATGAATTTTAAATCATTATAACTAGGCTCAAACATATCTTTATTAACCAAAATAGGAACCATTACAGTCAATATATTTTTGCCAATGAGAAATAAGTTTGCTTATTCCTGTAGCATAAAATCTGTGCTTCGGGATTTAACTAACTCTTGAAAAGCATTTTCTGCCTCCTGCTGGGTAGGGAAGCACTTTCCCTGCAAAGTTGTCAAGACGCTTGAAGAAGTGGTAATCTGTGGCAAGAGGTCAGGTGAATATGGCGGGTGAGGCAAAACTTCGCAGCCCAACTTCTGAAGCACTGGTTGTGCAACATGTGTTCAGGCATTGTCACAGAGAAGAACTGCGCCCTTTCTGTTGACCAGTGCCAGCTGCAGGCACTGCAGTTTTCGGTGCAACTCATCAATTTGCTGAGCGTACTTTTCAAATGTAATGGTTTTGCCAGGATTCACAAAGGTTTAGTGGATCAGACCAGCAGCAGACCACCAAATAGTGACCATTACATTTTGGTGCAAGTTTGGCTCTGGGAAGTGCTTTGAAGCTTCTTCTCGGTCCAACCACTGAATCACTGCAGACTGTCATATAAAATCCACTTTTTGTCGCATGTCACAGTCTGATCAAGAAATGGTTTGCTGTTGTTGCGTAGAATAAGAGGAGACAACACTTGGAAACCGTTTTTTGACTTTCAGTCAGCTCATGAGGCACCCACTATCAAGCGTTTTCACCTTTCCAATTTGCTTCTAACGCCAAATGACTGTAGAATGACCAGGGTTCAGTTCTTCAGCAACTTCTCAAGCAGTTGAAAGAGGATCAGCTTCAATGATGCTCTCAGTTCGTTGCTGTCAACTTCTGATGACCAGCCACCATGCTCATCTTCAAGGTTCTCATCTCCTTTGCGAAACTTCTCGAACCACCGCTGCACTGTATGTTCATAGCAATTCATCGGCCAAATGCATTGCTGATGTTGCAAGATGTCTCTGCTGCTTAACAACCCATTTTGAACTCAAATAAGAAAATGGCTCAAATTTGCTTTTTGTCTAACATTATTTCCATAGTCTAAAATAAATATAAAGTAAACAGCAAGTAATAAGTCATCAGCAAAAAAACACAGAGAGAAATGCACATTAAAGTGATGTAAAACATAACCACATTTAGTTAGAATGTATTCCAATATCAAATGGCAAATTTCAACAATGCAAAAACTGCAATTACTTTTGCACCAACCTAATAGGAATGATTTAGCACAGAAAAAATATAAAGGCAATTAATCATATTCATAAATTAAAAGAATAAAGCCTATAAGATTTTATCACTAGATCTCTTGAAAAAGCATTTGGTAATTTCAGCTGTGATTCCTAAAAATCATAAGGAAATGGAAATAAAAACTGGTGAAATAACAAAGACATTTCCATTAAAAAAAGAAACAAGGAAGCCTACTATTCAGTTTTTCAACACTGATTTTGAAAGTCTAGCTAGTACAATAAGATAAGAAAAATAAAAGTAATACAAATATTGGAAAATAGGTAAATTATGATTACTTCAAATACTATGATTTATATTGTGACAATAAATGTGGATTTAAAACAATAGTTAGCATTAATAAAAGACCTCAGTAATGGGAAGCAATATAGAATAAGTAAATGTTTAAACCCATGTGCATGCTCAGTCACTTCAATTGTATCTGATTCTTTGCAACTCCATGGACTGTAGCCTGCCAGACTCCTCTGTCCATGAGATTCCCCAGGCAAAAAACTGATAGCTTTCCTTTATATTATCATGAAGAGGTTAAAAAAAATGTTAATAGAAAGAGTCCCATTCACAAGGATGTTTAACAAATAAGGTTTAATCTTTGATTTAGCACTAAATTTTTTGCCTGAGACATGAGTACAGATTTTAAAATGTTTTTAATCTTTGAAGAATAAAAATCCTATCATAAAATAGCTCACCCTATCTACTCTACCTCAGTGTGTAATCACAAGGTTATATAAAGCTAAAATTAATCACAAAAACCTGAAGATTTGAAGGTTGGTATTTCAACACTGAACCAGCTCATTTGGATATTAAGCACAAGTGTTAAAACATAATCTATGGATAAAATGCTAAAAATCTTTTTACATTGTAATAATTATGCTGCTAGAGAACAGTGGTATTAAACTATCATTACCAGAACTGAAAATTATTTAGTTTCTATTTATAATACTTTCAACATATTTGATTAACTCTGAAGTCCCTTCCACTTCAAATAAAAAAATAGTGTACCAGATTCAATGTTTTAGTTTGTAAATTAATAAATATTGACAAATGTGGGGGAAAGAAGCACAGAGCAGGCAGAGTAGTTGGTTTAAAATATCTGAAAAGAGAGATCTGTTACTGGATAGTTTTATCAAAATCCTTTCTAACTAAAAAGACCCTTCATCACAGAAAATCAGAAAGAGGCATATATTACCATTGCAGCATTAATCTTGGGAAAATTCAGATTCAGTATTACTTTAGCATTGAACCAAACCAGGCTACGTGCACAATAAATAAAATGCCTTAAAACCATATGGGTCCTTTATTTCAGGAATAAGCACTCACTTGAAAAGTTAAAGTAGGGAAAAACAATATTACTTAAAATGAATTAAGTGCCACAATCAATAATAAAAATTTGGAATTTGCAAGTAGAAGAATGTATTTTCCAATTAAGAGATTATGAAGGATTGGTTTCTTCACATAGACTTACATACACACAAAGAAATTTCTCTAAAGCTTTATATAGAGTTAACTATTAGCTACTGAAGGTGGGAAGATAATTAAAAATCTCAACCTCTAAATATAATTCCAAAATTAACTTGTCAGATTAATTCATTGGATAGAGAGGTGTTGAGCACCCACTGTGGACTAGGTATTTATCATTGTGAGACAACAAAAAATATGCACTGGAAAAGGACATTTTAAACATTATATCTTAAATGTAATATGCATTATGTGACTGAGAACTAATTAATTATATTTAACACATTTAACACACAGAAAAATTCAAAACAATTATACCCTTGAACAACTTGAGTTTTAAAATTCCCCTCACTATTCCCTTAAGTTTATTTCCACTCCTGTGTTCTTTTCCAATTCTAAAAAAAGAGAATAAAGAAATTTCCTAAATAAGCCCTACTTATTTAGAATAGAAATGGAAGAGAAGGGATGTATTAGTTCTTGAATTCTTGTTTCCATTTGCTCTCAAATGTGCTTCTAATGTTCAATTTTCTCTTCAAAGAAAATTGTGATTTACAAAAACAAAAAGTACAACCATCTTTAGCATTTATAAAAGTATATTATTCAGTTCTTACTAAAGTCACCAAAGATTTACACTCAGAAAAAAAAATTTTTTAATCTTTATCCTAGGTTATGTAATGCCATTCACCATAGTAATGATCTGATACTTTGGTATAAGACTTTTTAAAATAAATATTGCCAACAGGTAGAAAATTTTCCTTGGCTGTCTTAAGACAGCCCTTGAGGGAGTTTTTAGCAGTGTATTGGCTCATAACTTGAGTGGTGATTTCAATAAATGTCACTTCTATCACTTAATGATAATCTTATTGAGGGTAATTTAACTGGGAAAAGAAAATGCCATGTTGCTTCTTCCTCCCAAGAAAAAGGGGTGCATTCCATTCTGGAGGTATCTACCTACCATCTAACTGTCTACCTATCTATCTCTGCATACATATGTATATAGATACAAATTGATATAGATACAGCTATATATACACACATATGTATACATGTCCAACAAATGTTTGACTTTGAGATCTCTCTTCCTCTTCCTTCTGATTCATTATTCTCAGTGTGACCCTCAAACTGTACTGCCTTTCATGTTTATTCATTTATCAATAAATAATTGAGTGTCTGTATCGAGTACCTTCTGCATGCTCAGTTTTATGTCAGATGTAAAAGAAGATACAACATGTATGTATAACTGAATCACTTTGCTGTACACCAGAAACTAACACAACATTGTAAATCAACTGTACTTCAATTCGAAAAAAGAAAAGAAATAAGACAGTCTCTGCCCTCCAGAATTTTTCTATCTCTTCCAGGGGCAAGATATAACACAATATATCATTAAGCAATTTATAAGACTACTGCCAAAATCAATGGTACAGATAACATGCAATTTGCATTGTGCACAATTTTAGAGTTTCAAACACTTTCTTGTGTTTAACCCTCAGAACAATATTGTTAAGTACACATTATTAGCCCCACTTTAGCAATGAGGAACTTGACATTCAGAATTTTAAATGACCTGCCTCAATCAATAAGTTATGAGTGGAAGGAAGAATCAAGACTCAAGCCAAGGTTTTCTGGTTCTAAACCTAGTGCTATTTTCAACTACAGGAAACCAAGGATTGAGGTATTTAACAGGGCAGCAGCCAGCCTTCAGCTAGAGGTGGAATTAAACTAAACTGATAAATATGCAGATTAATTTTATTTTGCAAATATTTGTACTTCAGTGTTAGACACACCACCCAACTACCATTTCCTCAGATTTAGTGCTTTAGGGCTCTTACCTGCTCAGTGAGAGCTTTGCTAGCAGAAACGGGGGTGTCAAACACAATAAAAAGCTGGCCTTTAGGAGGATCATATAAATCTTAAGCCATAAAGATAAATCTTAAAGATCTTGTTTGAACTAATCCTTACACATTTAGTTTCGCCTCAGAGCCAGAGTGTAACTCGTCCCTACCCTTTTCTAGCATTCTTGCTCCAAATAACCACTTATTTTAAGATGTCAATGGCTGACCCTACCCCAAATTCCACAGGTTCATCCCAGTCCTGCCACCGGACCCTAGCCCCTACCCAGACACCTCCCGCTCCTCCCTAATTTATGATACCTAGGTTCGAGTTCTGCAGGTGCAGTCGCTTGCCATTACACAGCACTGACAGATAAGATGTGACCTTTCGACTCCGTCCTTGGGGAACTCAAGCTGGCCGCGCAGCGTAGTTCCACACCCGAGAAAGGGGCTTCCGGGCTCGGGAACGAAGCCACGGGGAGTACACGGTCCGAAGCGAGGTCTCTGACAACTCGAACGATGCTGAGCGACTGGGCGTGCATCACTCCGCCCCATACTCCTGCCAACTGCAGGAGACTCGGTCCGGCAACCAATCCATCCCAGCTCACGGGCAAGTCCGTGCCAGCCGGACCTTAGGCAGGACCCCGATGACAGGCTGTTGACGGCAGCGGCAGCAAAGCCAAGGCCACCCGCCCCCAGCGCCCATCGCCGCCAACCTAAGACCCCCCCCTACACTGGACCGCAGAGAAGCGTTTCTATGGAAACCCCCTAGGGCTCACGTGACGCACCCAGAGGACCAATCGCCTCTTACCTCTGCCGGCGGCACCGCTTTCGGCCCTCCCTCCTGCCCCGCCCCCTCCCGCCCACGCCTCTGTCGCCCCGCCCCGCCCCTTTCCCGCAGAGAGTCCGCACATGCGCGCTGCGTCCAGCGCGCTACCGCCCCGGCGCGCCCCGCTGTGGGGCGCATGGGGGCGGCGTAGGAGGGTCGAGGAAGGCGCGAGCCTGAGGAGGAAGGATCGCGGCCAGCGCGCAGGCCCAGAACCACCCGAGACGCGGCTGCCGGCTACGCCTCTGAGCGGAAGAGGGAAGTGGAGCCGCCAGTCTGCGGCTTCCAGCTGGGGCTGGGCTTGCTAAGGTCGAGGGAGCGTCGAGAGGAGGCCTCGGCCGCCGGTCCGGAGTGGGGATGTCGAAGAACACGGTGTCGTCGGCCCGGTTCCGGAAGGTGGACGTGGATGAGTACGACGAGAACAAGTTCGTGGACGAGGAGGACGGGGGCGACGGGCAGGCCGGGCCCGACGAGGGCGAGGTGGACTCCTGCCTGCGGCAATATCCTTCAGTCCGCTGGCCTCCGCGCCCCACCCGGCCCGGCCCCTCTTCCGGGACCCCGCTGCGGGCAGCGCCTGAGGGCGGGGACCCCCGCCTCCCGGGGCTCCCTGTCGTGAGTGGGCGGGAGGGCTTTTCCTTTCTCCCGAGACCCCCGGGTCCCGCCCTCGGAAACTTGCCTTCCCAGCGCGCCGTCCACGCCCCCGACTCCTCAGGTTGCGCCCGGAGTTCTCGCCTCCCGGGGACCTGCGAGGACGGCCGCGCCCTCGCGGCTCTGGTGCTGGTCTGTCGGGCAGCTGCAGAGCGCTTAAGTCGTCCTCAGGTCGTATTTACCGGGTTTTCATTAGCACCCACGTCCTGTCGGGAGGAGCGGGCATTTTTCTAAAGTGATTTTCTTTTTATTGTGGTGGTGGTTTTGTTGTGGCAGCGTTATTTCATGCCGGGGGAGATGGGGCGGCTTGCAGAATTGAGGCCCTTCTGTATGTCTTTTTAAGCCTGTGGGCGCTTTTTTTTTCCTTTTCTTTTTTTAAGAGGAAGCGATTTGACAAAATACAGGTTGCACAGAGTTGGTTAACCAGGGGAAAGGGAATGAGTACAAAACTGCCCAGAAAGAAGCTGGAAGCGTTTTACCTGCTAGACGGAAAATGCATGTAGAGAATCCCTGGAAATATTTTAAATAAACCCCAAAGAATAACATAGGAGAAGGTGAATCATTTGTACAGAACCGAATCATTTTGTAATGCTGGAATCGTTTCCGTTAAGTTAAAATGTGGCTGTCAGTTCCTGGTGTGGGTTTGCATATTTGAATATTCATAACTTTGAAGGAGTATTTGCATCAGATCTTTTTTCGGAAAAATGTAAATGTTGCAATAACCAAGGCAGTCGTTTTAGAGATTCTCAATTACTGAATTCGCTCATTTCTAATTATTCTTGGGTGTATTCATAAGATTAGGAAGGCCCTTTAGACTTTCCTCATCAGTGGCCTATTAAATTAAATGGGGAAATACAGGAATGAAAATATTTGGTAGCAGCCACAGCTGGTCTTACAGGCACCTAAAATACAGCATTAAACATTTATCAACATACAGATGTTTCTTTGATTGCCTTGACTTTCACAATCAGCTGTTGCTGTTTTGCATTATTTAAAATACTGAAGTGTTTGGGGTGGAGGGGAGCGGTCCCATAAGTGAGCCAATCTGCAAACGGCATGCTTCTCTAGAAGTCCATTAAGCCTTGAAAATGACAGCCCGCCACCAACCATAGTTTTTTTAGTCAGACCTTTTTCTTTAGAACGTAAGTGGTGAAGATTATTCTGTATAAAAACATTCTTCGTGATGCATAAATGATGTTTTGTGAGACTAACTTTTTTTAGGTGACCTGTGATGACTCTTCAATGGTATTGCTGTATCCGTATAGTGCATCTGCTTTTAAATCAATTCGTCTTGAAACATAAAGATACTGTCTCTTCTTGTTGAAACAAGAAGAGACAAGCCCTGATCAGGCACTACAGATGGAGGAACAAGTGAACTCTGTGAGGTTTTCCTTTTAGGGCAGTGACTGTATATTCTGACAGTGTGATTGGCCTGCTGTTCCTCATTCTTGCTAACTCACTGGTGCTTTCAAAGCAGGACTAAATTTAATAGGTGTGGCCTAAAGCAGTTTGAATGACCTTTATAAAATATGAGAGGAAATATTAAAAAACAGAAAAATTAAGCTGCCACCTACAGGTCATCATTTTATCTTCTGTAATGCTTATCATCAATATTGAGAGATTGCTAATGTATATCATTCAGATTGGTAGCTAATGTATATCATTCAGATTGCCAGCACTTTTCTACCAGCATTTCAATTAATATAGAATATAATTCTAATTAAAGGATAGGCGGACAGGCTGTTTCATTTGGGGGCCTAAATAATTCTGATACATATTTTAGAATTTTTTAAAATATCACCCTGGATAATGTTTGCACATGTGTTTTACTGGAAAATGAAAGGTTATTAAGGTGTTCAGTTAATAATTAGAGCCAAGGGTGAAACAGTTTTTGCCTTATTTTTTAAAAATTTAATGCTGTCTTTCATTTTCAGTATTTTACCTTTGATTAACATACTTGAAACAAACATGTTGAATTTTCCAGTATTGAACGTAGCAACCATAGTAATTTTTCTTTCTATGCATGACATCAAATCTTAAGAACCAGTGGTTCCTGGGAGTTACAGTGCTTTCCTATGGGCTGCCCTTTGCCGCTATCCCCTTAACCTCCATCACAGGGAACATGACAGCTGCCCTACAGGCAGCTCTGAAAAACCCCCCCATCAACACCAAGAGCCAGGCCGTGAAGGTGAGTCACAGACAACACGCGATCTCTGTTGGTACCTCAGTCTTCTTACCAGAACCCTCCAAAGTGTCTTAACTGTTTGCCCTCTTTGACACAGAAGAGCTTACAATGTAGTGTGATAGGTGGAAAATCTATATAAAAAATTAGTGCTTCAACATTGAGTTGTGATAACACTTCATGGTAGGTAGACTTAAGTTCTAATGACGGAGAGATCTGTGTGTTTTTAGAGGAGGCCACTCAGGGTGAATTTGAGCAAAGACAAGTGAAACGTTCACAAGATAAACACATGCTACTTGCTTTTGAAAGATTTTTAAAAATTCTACAATTCTCATAGAATTAAATTCTAATATTTAATTCTGTTAAATATTATTGAAAACTCAGAAATGTGGGGGAATAAAAAAGTAATCATAACCCCACACCCATAGATAATTATTACTTTTTGTTGTTGCTATATGCTTATATTGTTTCTATGAGTTTTTCTTTTAATTAAAATGGAATTTTATAAACTGCTTTTCATCTGTATAGCAGCATATATGAACAGCTTTACTTGGTAATAAGTTTATTTCTATAATATCTTTTTTAACATCTGTATATTGATAATCCTGCAGTTTAGTTATATATAACCTTTGATCATATATTTATTGACTTTTTTCCTGTCATAAATAGTACTGAAATGAACAATTCTTGGTAAAGTCTGAATTGTTTCCTTTGAATAAATTTTTGGAAGTGAATGGCTGGATTTTAGACTGCACATTTTTTTAAGGCTACTATGGTATTGCCATACTACTCTTCAGAAAAGTAAAATTACATTGCCTCTTAACTGTCTTTTAGTAGTTCTTAAGAACCTATTTACTTAATTGTTTAAAGCCCAGATTAAATTCTGATGTTTAATTATGTTAACTATTGTAGAAAACTCAGAAATATGGGGGAATAAAAATGTAATCGTCCATAATCCCACACCCAGAGCACCGACCCCCCACTGTCCCTAGCCATTCACGCATCCTAGGAGCCCCAAGTATCTCCTTAGTTAAATACTAGTAAATAATAACTTAGGTAAGTGCATAATTATTATCTAGGCAACATAATCTTCTACAAGAGGAAATATTTCTTTGGTTTTTAAAAGTGAGTAACGTCATTGAAATTTCAGTTTTACCACCTTCTGCTTTTATGTGGGTGTTTTTTTTTTAATCAGAACTTGTGGGTGGGAGGTTATAGCTCTCCATACAAGGATATTTTTCTAAACAGGATAATTGCATAGTCTTTAAACTGAAGATAGCAACAGGTGGTAGAAGCATACTGTAAGATCATGCCTGGCAGGAATGCGGAAAGTATCACTTTGTGTTGAATAGAAAGAGAAACATTGTTGAAAGGGGAAATTAAGTGTTCCCTGTATTTGGCTTCCTGGGCAGTCTGTCATCAAAGAAAAAGATCATTATAAATGAAGATCACTCTAATATCTATAGTCACTTGACTATAGATATGAAATGAAAAATAAGTTTTAGAAACTTAAATTTTTATTTATTAATAACTTATTTCTGAAGGATGCTTCAGGGTAGAACTGTAATTCAGTTTCTTTTTTTTTGGTCTTTTTTTTTTAATCAAGTGAAATATACAGATTTAATAAGTTGATAATTTGTTACATCTATCTGTAAGCAAACCCTTTCAGCTCTCCCTTCAAATATATCAAGACTGTGTCTACTTCTGACCACCTCCGCTGCTCCCAAGCTAGCCAAAACTGGCCTGTCTTAGCGAGGTTAACTTCCAAACTGGTCTCCCGGCTTCTGTCTCCTGCTCTCCCCACCCTCCCCGCTCCTGCTGCCCCGGGCTTGTCTTCAACATGACAGCCAACCGGTCCTGTTAAAATGTAAGTCAGATTATATCACTCTTCTTAGAACCTTCCAACATCTTCTCATTTCTGTGACTGGAGGCCAGAGTCCTCATAAGGGCCTGCAGGGTTTACATGTTCTGTCTTCCGACTACCTCTCTGACTTCCTGCCCTGCCCTGCACTCCGCTCCACCCCACTCTGTCTTCTTGCTGTTCCTTGGGCATACTGAACACACACTAACAGCAGTTACTCTTTCCTCTGTCTGAAATATTTGCCTCAGATACACCCAAGGTTTCCTCTTCCTTTCTTCAGGTCTTTGCAGTGCAGCCGTTCTAAAAACTGAAACTGCCCAACACAAAAATGAGTCTGAATGATCTGTGATTTATTTACCCTCAGGATCGAGCAGGCAGCATTGTCTTGAAGGTGCTCATCTCTTTTAAAGCTAATGATATTGAAAAAGCAGTTCAATCCCTGGACAAGAATGGTGTGGATCTCCTAATGAAGTATATTTATAAAGGCTTTGAGAGCCCCTCTGACAATAGCAGTGCTGTGTTATTGCAGTGGCATGAAAAGGTAAGTTATGGATTACACAATCTGTATGACTGGTTCCTTTGATGGAAAATAACATTGACAATCTCTAGCGTAAATACCTGTTTTGACTCTTTGGTTATACATTGGTTGTTACTACAAATAAATGCACGGAAATGAAAGTTTAGATTTATGCTTACTAGACTTGGTCTTGAGATGCTGATTTGAATTATTTAACGATTGCCAAAAGGTGGAAAAGCCAAGCACCCAGGAACAGACGAACACGTGTGCATGCATGCTCAGCCGCTCTGCTCATTCATGCACAGCTTTGCCACCCCGTGGACTGTAGCCCACCAGGCCCCTCTCCATCAGATTTTTCAGGCAAGAATACTGGAGTGGGTTGCCGTTTTCTCCTCCAGGGGATCAGCCCACATCTCCTGCATTGCAAGTGGATTCTTTACCACTGAGCCATCAGGGATGCCCAAACAGATGAACAGAATCTGACACAGACGTGCAAGGGAATATTATTTGACTAGAAAAAGTTTATATACATGGTACAGCATGAATGAACCTTGAAAACATTAGGCAAAGTAAAATAAACCAGGTACAAAAAGACACAAAATACTGTGATTCCACGTATATGAAATATCTAGAATAGGCAGATTCAGAGACAGAAAATGGATTAGAAATTACCAGTGCCTGGGGAGAAGGGAGACTGGAGAGTTTTTGCTTAATGGGTACAGAATTTCTGTGTGGAGAGATGGGAAAGTACTGTAAATAGATAGTGGTAATGCCTATACAATATTTGAATGTAAATAATACCACTGAATTTTACATTTAAAGATGGCTAGTGTGGCAAATTTTATGTTACATATTTTATCAGTTTTAAAAAATGAAATCAGGAGTAGGATCAAGAATTCTTAATTTTTTTTTTCTGTTTTCCTGCATTTTGCTTTGCAGTATAAGCAGATGCTGGTACACTATCCATCCCCCCAGTCCCTCCTCTCCCAAAAAAATGGCTATGGGGGATTTTTAGCTTTAGGTGAAAAATTGGTGAGGTAATTTTAATATCCAGCTCTTACATTATATTGGTAATATTTGAATAAAACCAACCACAGATAAGGTGTATATTCTTCAACATCTTACAGTTACCAAAAACTTAGTTTTTCAGAAGCTATTGTCTGGATATCTGAGTGAAAACATAAGATATGAACAGGTAGCAAAACTTGCCATTTAACCTGGATCAAGTCACTTCATTCCTCATACACTGTCAAATAAAAAGAGCTAACCTTTGTGGATAGGATTATTATAACTCACTTTTCCCAAGACAGCCCCAGTTTATGCCTGTTTCCAACATAATTATGAATAGTTCCCTTTTACTCTATGAGTATATATATGAGAATAATTCATACAGTCATCCTGTTCATGGAGTACTTCTTATTCACCAGCCACTGTATTCTTTTTTTAATTGAGGTATAATTGCTTTGCACAGCCACTATACTTTTAGTTTCTGTTTCATGTGATCCTTAAAGCAACTCTATGAGATATATAAATATCTTTATCATCCTCAATAAGCACTTTATAAATGTTAACTCAATTAATTAATCTTCATAAAAATACTACGGAGGAATGCTAACTACTTCCCTTTTTTACATGGGGAACTGAGGCATGTGCTAAGTCTTTTTCTTCCTAACAGTCACCAGTTTTTGCCAGCCTTATCTCCTAAATACTTCTCAGATCATCCACTCAGCCATCTCTGACGCAGCTGTCCTCGGCCTCTTTCAGTTTGTTGCCAGGGTTTTCTAAAAGGGTCTCCTGGCTATCAGTTTTTCCTCCCTCAAATCTGTTCTCCACCCAGTTGCCAGAATGATCTAATGTCCAGATCTACCCTTTTACGTCCCCTGCAGAACTGAGTCCAGATTCCCAGGTCCAGCCTCCTCTTCCATGTGGTTCTTCCCCATGTACTGTAGCAGTAAGCATAGTAATGTGTTTCCAGCTGGACATAGCATAATATTTCACACCTCTATAGCTTTGCTTATGATTTTCACTCTGCCCCAGTGCCTCCTTATCCTTTTATGTCAGCCTGTCACCTACTTACCCATTTAATGTGTCATTTTCTCCAGGAAGCCATAACCTCACCATTCCAGTTTCCTCTGTGCTCTCAGGTTGTGTATATGGCCCTCTGTGCTTTTCTAGCACCCAGAGCCTAGCTCTGTCATTTCATACATTATATGTAAATAGGCTGTGTATATGTCTGTCTCTTCCCTGTCTCGATGCTGTATTTGTTCGCTTTTATACCCCCAGCCTCTAGCACAGTACGCAATACACACAGGTGTTTCAGTAAGTGTTTTTGACCAGAAGAAAACCAGAGCTTCAAATTCCTAATACTTAATCACAACTTCCAATTTTTCCAGGTAATGTCAAAGTTCCTAAGTTCTTAGCTATTAAGTAGTATTTTCTTAGCTTGAGAAAAGAAAAATCTGACAAACGCTGAGTGCTTTAAACTGGAGCTTAGTAAGGTTGAACTCAGTTTGAATTTCTTTCTGGCACTGCTAAGAATAAGAGCAGAATGAAATGTCCTAAATTTAAATACATGGTTATATTTAAATTTATACCCTAACCCCAGCCCTAACCTGTTTTCGGCAAGAACATCATGCTGCAGATCTCTTAAGAACATACTGTTATTTGACACACCAGAATGTGAGCTAGCATCTGAGGAGAATGTGAGTGCCTGAGAGCAAGCACTCGGAAGGTTTTTCGGTCGTTGCTGTTACTGTGTCCCCAGTGCCGTGGACAGTGCCTGGCTCATAATAGGTGCTTGAGAAATACTTGTTAAAAAAACTAGCAAATCCAAGATCAGTTGCTGCACACGCCCTTCCTTGAAGAAAAATGTTTTACTTGGTATGAAAACTGAGCCTTTACGATTCTGTCAACACTGACATTTTGGTTTGTGTTTAGGCGCTTGCTGCTGGAGGAGTGGGGTCCATCGTTCGAGTCTTGACTGCAAGGAAAACCGTGTAATCCGGCGGGAACTGGATTTCTCCCATGGGGTGGGAGTTGCTGGTACCAAGACCAAAACCAAATGCCACCGCTGTCCCGCGGCAGCATCTGTTCCTCTCAGCTTTGCCTTCTTGCTTCCTTTTCATATCTATACAGAAGAAAATTACATACATATCAGTTTGCCCTAAATGAAAATTGGAATGAGATAAAAGAAGTATTTCAACAGGAGTGTGTCATGATCTCAGAATGATTTCAGTGCCATGGATACCAGTCTGTACATAGCATAATTTACACTCAACTTTAATTGTGCAGTTGTTCCCATGTTGGCTGGGTTTTCCTTTGTTTGTTGTTTGTTTTTGGGAGGGGTTTTTTGGCTTTGACTAATAGTGAGAAATTTGATCAGAATTGGAGGCCAGTTTCTTAACTCATTGCTAGCCAGGAAATGATCTATATATATTAAAAAAAAAATGTTTGAGAGACTGTCAGCTATTAACATTGCAAAACTGGACCAAACTTCCCTTATTTAAACGAAATGTGTTTCTGGAACAAGTGGTGGCTGAACACCATGACCAAGTCCAGCTGTGTTTCTGCTTCCCTCCAAGTGACGTGCGTTTAAGTCATCTTCTTCCTCTCCGCATCCAGTAATCGTGGCCTCTTGATTTCTGTGTGGTCACCCAGGGTACAGAGCAACGAATCTTGCTCTACACAAATGTATCTATAAAATGCCAGAGCCTGTTTGGCATGAGCATAAACTTTGTTTTCCAATAATATGACCCTATTTGGGGAAACTACTACAAATCAGAAAAGATGTGGAAACTATGATGTAGTTCAAACTCTGGGCAGCCTCTGAATGAAGAGATATTTTCTTTAAACTTACAGTAGCTGCCTTTGACATCATGAGGTATATAACTAGTATTTAATATGTCCTATAAATGTCTTCTTCAGTGTTCTTCAGGGTAATTGGGACCTCAGAGGATTTGGTTCAGATCCAAACACATACACATTCTGTATTTTAGGTCAGTGTTTTTTTAAAAAAACAAAATACCACACATTGAAAAGTGTTTACTTTGTTGGACAAACCAAATGGATTCTCAAAAAATGACCGGTGCTTATGAAAAATTATTATTATTCAGTAGCTCTAAAACAAACCACCTGAATGCTTATGACCAAGCAGGAAATCAGAGTATATCTAGTATTTACATCTGACACCAGTTTCATAACCACTGACCTGTGTGAAAACTGGTGCAGAAATTCTGTAAACTCTTTGCTGTTTTTGATACCTGCTTTTTGTTCTGTTTTGTAAAAATGATAATCTTCAGAAAATAAATTGTCAGTGTTGAATAATTTATTTTTGTCTTACTTTAATACTTATGAAGGCATAGTTAATGAAGAGGAAAGATTTCCTTTTTTGCCACCAGGTTATTACACTCTTTGACAAAAACTAATTTTGCATAGAAGGTTTATAGGACTACCTTATTCAAATATTAGATAGTAGAGAAGAGGAGAAAATTATTAATAAATGTTAATAATGAAGTGAGTATTATAATCACTCACTCTGGAGTGATTCCATAGCTGTCTGGAAGCCTGATGAACACCACTCCGAGCTCCCAAGCTCTTTCTTACACCAATCATCTACTGTCTTTAGCTACTCAAGGCATTCTCTTTTACCACTGCACCTGATTAGATTCCTACATCAAAGATTTAGAAATTTACAAGCAGTTCAGAGGGCAATGAGTAAGAGACACTAAACTATAGATAATACAGGTGGTCAAATAGGTATAACAACCACATACAAACTTTAAATGAAAACAAGTGATATTGCAACAGTGGTGGTTTAGTTACTAAGTCGTGTCCGACTCTTGCAATCCCATGGACTTGGAACCTGCCAGACTTCTCTGTCCATGGGATTCTCTAGGCAAGAATACTGGAGTGGGTTGCCATTTCCTTCTCCAGGGGATCTTCGCAACCTAGGAACCGAACCTAGTTCTGCCTTGCAGGCAGGTTCTTTACCAACTGAGCTACAAGGGAAGTCCAGATTGCAATACTTTTTCATAAAATCCTTAACATCTCTTTCATGACTATAGTGTTGGAGGAAATTCCAGAGTTCCCTATTTTATAGTCATAAGAATGATTGTACTCAAAATTTGCCAAGACCTTTTCTCAGGAGAGAGAAACTATGTAGCAAATAGAACAGCATAGGTATGGAGTCAAAATGCATGCCAGCTGGAAACTAGTGGCTCAACTGATGCGTCTCAGCTAGACATCAGCCCGAGTGATGCTGACCATGACAAAGCACCCATCTTGAAAAGTGAGAGGTAATATGAATTGTGGGAAAAAGATGAATGCTAAGGGGCACTCTGAGCACCTATGCCCTCTACTTCAATCTCGGTGGTTTAACAATTTTTCTGTGTTTTGTCTTTGCCACTTTTAAAGGGGGAAAAAATGGCACACAGACCCTTTGTTGGGGCTTCCCTGGTGGCTCAGTGGTAGAGAATCGGCCTGCCAGTGCAGGAGACGCAGGTTCAATCCGTGGGTCAGCAAGACGCCTGAAGAAGGAAATGGCAACCTACTCCCATATTCTTGCCTGGAAAACCATGGACAGAGGAGCCTGGTGGGCTGCAGTCGATGGGGTCACAAGAGAGTCAGACACAACTTGGTGACTCAACAACAAGAACCGTTTGTTAGTTGTTTGGTAATATCACTGTTTAGGTAATAGTCACACTTTATCTTAAGTATGATGATGTGTTAGAGGAATCCATCAACACACAGGTGAAATCCATCTGGAGATGGGACAAATTAACTGAGTCTTTTTAAAGCATGCACCATGTTCCCCAGGATCACAAAGGACATAGTGGAAGAGTAACATCTGGATCTTTCTCACAAGTTGCTTTCGGCCTCATTGGAAAGTAAGATTTAAGCATTCTAAAGTGAATGTCATATAATTTAGTATTATGCCCCTTAGCTATTGATCCCAAGGAGGGCTAGCACCTGTCTTTCTGGAAGGACCAGCCGGCAAAACTGCCTGTCCCACCCCAAACAAAGGCAAGAAGACATGAAAGCAAAATGGTCTTTGGGGTTCCTTCCCTCCAGCTCTAGGGGGTTTCCCTGATAGCTCAGTTGGTAAAGAATCCACGTACAATGCAGGAGACCCCAGTTCGACTCATGGGTCAGGAAGATCTGCTGGAGAAGGGATAGGCTACCCACTCCAGTTTTCTTGGGCTTCCCTTGTGGCTCAGCTGGTAAAGAATCCGCCTGCAATGCGGGAGACCTGGGTTGGGAAGATCCCCTGGTGAAGGGAAAGGCTACCCACTGCTATATTCTGGCCTGGAGAATTCCATGGACTGTATAGTCTATGGGGTCGCAAAGAGTTGGATGTGACTGAGCGACTTTCACTCACTCCCTCCAGCAGGAGATGCTGTCCCTGACGTCATCCTTCTATTACTCACTGCCTGAACAAACTCTTCTGGGCCTGCTGCTTCCTCTAGAAGTGTGCTGCGTGCCCGCTGGGCCAAAGCTTCCCAAAGAGGTGTCTGTTCATTCCTAGGGCTTCTGCAAATGCGTTCTTGGGCACCTGCCGGTTCTGAAGAAGATTTTAAAATGTGTCCCTGGGGACTTCCAGCTGTCCAGTGGCTAAGACACCATGCTGCCAATGCGGGGGGCCCTGCTTCGATCCCTGGTCAAGAAGCTATATCCCACATGACACAACTAAGAGTTTGCTTGCCCCAACTACAAAGATCCCACATGCAGCACCTACGAGATCCTGTGTGCTGCAATGACGATCTAAGGCATGGCACAGCCAAATAAATTTTTTTTAATTTAAAGACAATTTTTAAAAGATTAAAAACTTAAAAAAAAATTAAAAACTTTAATTAAAATTAAAAACAGGTCCTCGTTTCTTGGTGCTCCAGTTTTCTCACCTTTTAGAAAATGGGGAAGTAATAATAGTGTTGTAGGAATTACAGAAAGCATTTAGTGCCTTCACATGTTTGGTTGAACCATATGAAACTGCTATCTTTGTAGGGCAAGATGATGGAATAGTGGCAATTTCATAATTTTCAAGCCTATACTAAGTGTTCAATAAGTGTTACTTTTTCTTCCTTTATTTAATTTGAATGTATTATTTGGTAATTTTTGTTTTGCTTTTAAATCTATGACACGGGCTTTAAAGGAGCTTCATCTTAGTTTTCTATCTGCGTATATGTGAGTAGCAGTATAATTATTATAATAAGGATTAATTAGTTGACAGGGTAAGAGAGGTTCTGTCTGTGAGCCTTTTTCTCTTTAGAGGAGAAAACATTTTTCAAGTTTGAGAGATCCTACCCTAGACCTTTCCCAGTCTGCCTCATTTAATTCACCTGCCCTGTGTTTTCATCCTCACATCAGGATGCTAATCTTAGTTTGGGGTCAGTTAGAAAATCTGACAAGCAAGCTGGGCTTTTGATTTCTCCCAGTAGAACATGACACTGGGAAGACCTTTCACGCCTCCTTTGAAGACTGGAGAGCAGACAGTTCTGAACCAGCGTCTTGATTCAAGTGAGTAACCAGATACCTTGCTTGATCACTAGGGGCTGATGTTAAGAATTTTATTAGCCAGCAGGCATATGCTAAGTCTGGCTCAAAGTGCTTTATGTGTATTATCTCCTTTAGTCCTCGTAAGAGCCCTATGACATAGGTGGTGTGATTTCCCCCATACTGCAGATGAGGAAACTGAGGTATGGAGCTGCCCATGGTCAATCAGCTCTCAGGAATTCTAACCTGGGCTGGCTCCAGAACCTGTGCCCTTGGCGACTGCTCCACAGTCTGTCCAGGCATTATCCGTTTGTCCTGAAAACAATCCTAGGCGATAGGTAAAGGGGCTGGGGTCTTCCCAGCTCTGGAGCAGGCTCTTAACCCTCATCACCCTGCCTGCTCTGCTCCCCGGAGCGCAGTCAGCCCTGTGGGCTGTGTCCATGCGACTCCCTGCAGACTGGCCTCCTTTCCAGCCCCAGTGCCTCGGCCCCTCCTTGGGGTGACGTTGTTTA